AACCCCCACCCCCACCCCGGCTGAGAGAGCATCACCCGGCGCAGGCGCCGCACTGACCGGTGTCGAAGGCCTTGGTGGTGCCCTTCAGCACCTCGAGGGTCAGGGCCGCCACGATGTCTGCCTGCCGGGCGATGGCACTGGCTCGCTCCACGGCCTCGCAGCCCAGCGAGGTGATCATCTGCGTCCCGTTGATGAGTGCCAGGCCCTGTGGGAGGAAGGGCCGGTCACACGAGTGGGTTCTGCGTCCTTTGCCTTCGAGAGAGAGCCATTAGCCAGTCAGCCTGAGCTGCCATCCACGTTTTCTCTTTTAAATAAAGATGGGGTCTCGCTACGTTGCCCAGGTTGCTTTCCAACTCCTGTGCTCAAGCGATCCTCCCGCCTCGACCTCCCAAAGTGCCGGGATGACAGGCGTAAGGACCGCGCCCAGCCACCTTATCCCAGCCTCTAAAGGACAGGGCAGTGATGCTCAGTTGAGCCCTTGAGGAGAAAGTGCTGCCGTATGTGGACGCAGGTGGACCCTGGAAAATGAATCCCTGCTAGGCACACCCATTCCCAAGCAGCCGTGTAGTGCTGGGGGGTAGACAGCAACTCTGCGTTAAGTCGCATTTCTTCTTTAGGTGCTTGGCACTGTAGACAAGACACCTTAAAGCAATTCTAGTCTCCTAAGGAGTCTTGGCTGAGAGCGCCCATCCGTCCGAGCGCCTTGGAGAGCTCAGTCGGAAGTTGAGGTCCCTGAGAGCACCCTGTGCACGTGTGACACAAGCCATCTCTTACGCACTCACGGGAGAGCCATTTCTTCAGTGGCAAACCTTCCATACGCGTGTGAGCCGTGTTCGTTTTGGGGAACCAGTGAGACCAATATTAAGACTGAAACTGGTGCATAAATAAAGGCTTGCCCGTAAGCACACGCATTCCTGGGATTTCCTTACCTCTTTGGGTTTCAAAACAACCGGTTTCAGCCCATGAGCATCCAGGACCTGCAGATGGTTCACAATGTGAAAATGTGTATCGAGCGGGGCCCCAGCTGGTTTCTAACGTCACATGGGACCTGCGAGACTCTTTACGCCAGCCCTCTTGGAGGTCAGACGGCAGCCTCGGGCCCCGTGCATGTCCTCTGGCCCATTACTTGCTTCTGCTCCCTCGCAGGAAAGCAGGCTTCTCTTTCAAGCAATTTTGGGCTTGGGTGGACATGGTGAGAATGATGGTGTGGCATGCTCAGGGGGCACGTGAGGGCACGGAGACCCGGCAGGGCCGGAGAGGAGCCAGAGGGCAGGGAGGCAGGCTGTCAGCGGCCTCTCGGAAGGGAGGCGGGAGAGGCGGGGGGAGGAGGCATGTGCCACCCTCTGCCTGGGGCGGGGAGCCCTGGCGGCACACGGGCCCCAGCTTCTCTGTGCTGTGCAGCTGGGCGGGACATGGGCTCACAGGACAAGACTCTCGTGAGCCTCTGGGGTTTGGACTCCATCCTGGGGCGATGGGTGCTTCCAGGCGTCCGCCAGGAAGGGCTGGCCCGGGGAGGTGGGAGACATGGTCCCCTGAGACGTTCTCAGGGCACAGGGACGAGGGGGTGTGTGACCCGCGTCCCCCAAGGATGACGGAGCCCCTCCCCTTTCCCCAGCCCTCCGCCCAGGAGCCGACGGGCGGCACGGAGCACAGCCTCCTGGCCTGGGCGGGGTTTTACTCCTCGGTCCTCTCCTGTAGAAGCAGAGTAGCAGCGGCCCCCACGGGCCGTCTAGAGCGCCCAGGCCCCCGTGCCCGATGGGCGCCCCTGGGTTTTGCGTCCACCCAGCCCTGTGCCTGCCCAAGTGTCCCTGCCCACAGTGGCCCCAAGTCTCACCCATGTATTTCGCCTCTGCACAGCCTCACGTCGCCCAGGCATCCCTGCCTGTCTCCCGTATTTCACGTCCTCCCAGACCCGTGCCAGCCTCGCACCTCTGCCCCGGGGGCCCTGAGAGTCTCACTCGCTTCGCACGTCTGCCCAGCCCCAGGTCCACCCGGCGCCCTTGCCCACAGAGCCCCAGGGGTCTCACGTATTCTGCCTCCGCCCTGCTCCGTGCCGCCCAAGGAGGTCCCAAGAGCCTCAGGTGTTTCACCTCCACCCAGCCCTGTGCCCGCCCAGGTGTCCCTGGCCACAGGGACCCCGAGTCTTACGTATTTCATGTCTCCCCAGCCCCGTGCCCACCCAGCGTCCCCGCCCAAGGAGGCCCCGGGAGCCTCACGTTTTTCGCCTCCGCCCAGCCCCACGTGGCCTGCAGCGTCCCTGCCCGCGGAGGCCCCGAGGGTCACGCGTTTCCCCTCCCCCCGCCCAGCGTCCGCCCCGCGCGCTGGCCACAGAGGCCTCGAGTCTCACGTATTTTGCATCCGCCCAGCCGCTCTTTGGAGACCACATCTTTCCTTCCCCAATCATCCCGAGAGCCAGGTGGGAGAGCGGGGCCAGGTCTCCGCTGGCGCCGACCGTGCCCTTCTCCGGGACGTAGGGCAGGCAGGAGGCTGCAGGGGCGGCAGGCGTCGGTCGCGCGGCCCGCACCCCAGCCCCCTGCCCCGCGTCCAGACCGCTTCGTGCCCGGGAGCAGAGAGAGCTTCCGGGACCTGGATAAGCTGTTCTAGAGAGGAGGGGGTGGGGAGAGAAAGAGGGGAAGGGAGAGGGAAGGAAGGACGGAGGAGGGAGGAGAGGAGGGAGGGAGGAGGAGGGAGAGACGAGAGGAGGGGAGGGAGAGACGGCAGGCCGGAGGGAGCCCCTCCCGCGGCAGAGCCTCCGAGGGCTGGGTGCGCCCACCCGCCTAACGTCCCCCCTGCAGAACTCTAGCAAGGCACCCCAGAGACACGGCTGTGCATGACGGCCTGGTCCCGGGAACACAGGCTGGAGGCGGTCTAGGTAGGGGTTTAAGGGTGTTGTGGGGCTGAAGAGACGCAGCCCTGCAAAGGCGTGGGGCATAGGTCCACACGGAGGTGTCTACACTGGAAAAGTCATCGAGAACGCTCCAGAGGGACTCGGTGTCCCCAGGGGTCCCTGGGAGGTGGAGTCGCAGCAGCTTCGTCTCTCCCCACCGCCGAGGAGCGAACATGTTCTGTTTCCTGAGAAATTCCCAGGAAGTGGCTGAGAAAGCAGGCCACTTTTCTCTAAAGTGGAATCAGGCCCTGGCAGTGGCGTGGTTTCCAACGGCCAAATAACCTCGGCAGGGCCAAACAGTGCCACCCACGGGCCAGCGTCCAGGGCAGAGTCCGGTTCTCAGAGCCCTGGACGCCCGGAGGCGCCTCCAACCCACCCATGACGTGCTGCGGGGTCAAGGCCAGGGTCGCTGTCGGAGCCCCGAGGCTGGGAGTGTGGCCCAGCAGGGTGGGAGCAGGAGGAGGTGTGGAGCCCGTGCTGTGGGCCCTGGGTCCACACTGCCCGCCCCCGGGGCCTGTCGGGCGTGTTCTGCTCCACAGGCCTCCCCGCCCAGCCTCTCCCCCAAGTCCTCCCCCGGCCAGCCTCCTGTGGCCTAGAAGGCTTGTCCTCAGCGGCCAAGGGGCGAGTCTCCCGACCAGTGCAAATCTGGTCCCCACATTAGAATCTCCCAGTCCAGGAAGAGAGCACCGGGAGCCCGCGATGCCGCCTGTCCTGCGGGACCGTCCTCACTCCCAAGCGAGTCCGGCGTCCCGGGCCTCTTCCTGCCTAGCCAGCCTCTTTGGCAGCCGCGCCCCCTCGCGTACACCAGCCTAGCCTTAGCTCAGCCAGCTTCCGGCATCTGGCCCTCGGGTCTGCCTTGCGATCCACGTCCTGCCGCCTTACCATTGAACACCTCGACGACTTGTTTGAGGGTCTCCAGGGAGATGCCGCTGTAGCCCTTGGCCAAGACGTTGATCCGCAAAGCCAGGAGCATCCGGCACCTCTCAGGGCTGAGGGGCTTCCCCACACCTGCGACACAGAGGCGGGCTGTTCCCCAAGAAAGGCACGCTCTCCTCCCCGGCCACCTCCCTCCCCGAGCCCCCTCCCCTGCCAGTCCGTTCCACGGTCTCCCTCCGTGGCGATGCTCTTCCTGGCCTGCCTGGCGCCCCAGAGGCGCCATCTAGCAGGCCCAGGTGAACCCGGCTTGCCTTCCCTCGCCGGGAGGCTTCAGCGAGCCCCCACCCTCCCAGACACCTCGGAGGCAGGGTCTCACGCCGTCACCCAGGCTGGAGGGCGGTGGCACCATCGTGGCTCACCGCAGCCTTCGCCTCCTGGGCTCAGGAGACCCTTCTGCCGCAGCCTCCTGAGCAGCCGGGACTGCAGGCATGCCCCCTCACCCTTACCCTTGGCTAATTTTAAACGGTTTTTCGTCGCGACGAGGTCTCACTATGCTTCCCAGTCATGTCTCAAACTCCGGGGCGAATGCGTCCTCCCACCTCAGCTTCCCAAGGTGCGAGGACTCAGGTGTGACGCCACGCCCAGAACATCACCTGGAGAGGTCTGGGACGGTGCCACGACCCGGGGCGCCGAGGCTCAACGGCCTTCCCTCCCACCATGCCCACCCGAGCTCAGCCCTGAGTCCAGCTCCCATGCCCCTCTCGGCAGGACACGGGCCCCACCCAGCCCGGCCTGCTCCTGGGGTCTGGCAGATGCCCCCCGCCTCCTTTCCAGTCCCCGAGGTGCCTGGCCGCTCACTGCCCCAGGCCTCCCTGGGCGGTCCTTCTGGGCTTCCTGCTGGAAACCCAGGGCTTGCGTGCCTCGACTTACCCGCGGAGTGCGAGCGCACCAGGTTGACCTGGAGCTCCCTGGAAGAGAAGGAGAACCTCTGAGCTCCCTCGGCAGGGAACGAAGCGTGCTCACAACCCAGGCCTCGGAGGCACGGGACCAAGGGAGGGGGCCACAGAGACCCCGCCAGCCTGCTAGCTCCGTGTGACCCGCCACGTCACCAGCCCACCTCCCATCTGTAACCGGGTTCCCCTTGTGAAAAATTCACTCACTGCAGCTTATTGATGGGAATGACTGTCCTGGCGAACTTCCCAAAGCCCGTGGTGATGCCGTAGACAACTAGGGGAGGAAGAGGCACCGTCAGATGCAGGGCTCGCTTTTTTTGGCCTGTAAAAGGATTTTGTGACATCGGAGGAAAGGGTACCCGTCTTCTCCTTCACGATGCTGTCGATGACGTCCCTGGACTTCTGCACCCTCTTTTCAGCGGCGGAGGTGAGCTGGGGAGATGCAGTCACACTGAGCCCCTGGGGACGTCCTCGGGCAGCGCCATGGCCGAGGACACCCCCACCTGCCCACCGTACCTTTATTTTGTAGTGTCCCTTGCCCAAGTTCACCAGATCCTCTGTGGTCAGACTGTCCCCATCTAGGGCGATGTACTGCATGAGAGAGGGGATCTCCGTGAGCCGGGGCAGCTTGGGCTCTAGCAGGAGAGCAGAGCCACACGTGACGCTTCCGAGATGCTGTCGCAGCCAGGAGGCAGCCGCGCGCCCACGAGGACAGCGGGCTCAGGAGGAGGCTGAGGGCGGAGGGTCGGGCGCGCTGCAG